CACACACCAGCTCAGGCTCCTTCCCCACCAGTGAGGTGACATTCCACGTCCCAATAACCAGCTTCTGTAGCCGAGGATCAGACCGCCAGGGTCCCCGCCCTCGGCCACCACCCATCCCACATTGCACCCGACCCCTTTGGCCCCTCCCACAGGTGGTGAGCCCATGGGAAGGGGGACCCACGTCTCCTCTTCGGGCTGTGCCCGGCCGAGCTCCGTGGGTAAAAGCCCGGCCACCAGGCGCTCGCCCGCGTGCCCCACCTCCAGGCCTGGCTCCAGAGTGGGGTCCCGGTGACCCACGTCCGGGCAAGGGAACACTAGGTCCATTTGTGTTTCTCATCATTGGGGTCTTTGGGCTGCACTTTGTCTGGTCCCTCACTTAGGACCTGTCTGCCATGGGTGACCCTACTAGGGGCATAAAGCCCCTGACAGCATAGCTCCTAGGATCATTGGGACACTCAAACCCCTCCACCACGGTAAGGTGGCAGCCCAGGGAGGGGATCATCAATCTTCCCATGGTAATAAATCTGTTTGTTGTTTTGTTCTGCGACTGAGTGGTCGCACAGACCAGATGTCATTACTTCACTCCGTCACACTATTCAATTTAGTTTGTTTGTATAGTGCCAAGTCACAACAGAAGTCGTCCCTGGGTACAGAACAGAAACATTCATATATAAAAATAATAATTTAACACTGGAAGGTTCCTGGAGAAAATTGACGGGGACTGCCAGGCTGCTGCCGATTACAAAAATTATTTGACAGTAATGGGTTTGGGATCACCCTAAGCTACCATTGTACCAAGTTTCAGCTAAATATATCCAAAAATGACTGAGTTATAGTCAATTTTGTGTTTGCTGAGGCAGCTGAGGTAGCCATCTTGAATCAAATGGCTCCAAACGTTAATCAGTTCTAGAGATACAGCTGATGATTACTTTCTGTGAGTTTCAAATAAATCCAGCAGTGAGTATGTTTTCTTCATGCTCTAAATCTTGTGACTTGACTGCAGCAGTTAGTGTGAGGAGTGTTCTCGCATTTATTTCCTATTGGGATTTGTGACTTCTTTGTTAGCAAAATATGTCACTATGGTAACTCAGATTGTCAATAAAAGTAATAGCACACATCACAGGGCCGAGCCGGTCGTTTTGATATAACATTTGACGGGGTACACGTTGTAGTTTGGGCCGTGTAAAAGTTGAAAGAAGAGTAAGTTAACTGACATGCAGGACAGTAGAATCAAGACTGCCTATTTATAATTAAACTATTATTATTAAATATTAATATTAACAATTATCAATATTAATAAATTAATTAATATGAATTATCAATAACAGTTATACATTTGTTATTAATAATTTATGTTAATATTAATAATTATTAATGTTAATTATTATTATTACTAATTGATAATAATAATAGGTAATAATAGGTGCCTTCCATGCATTGCATGGAGGATGCACGCATGTTTCGCAAGGCATTGCACTGCCTTCCTTGCATGTTGAACCAAAATGGCTCCATACGTTACTCAGTTTCTGTGAAGAGCTTTCGCCTATTCATTTCCTATGGGAAATTTGACATCTTTGTTAGCAAAATATGTTGCCATGGTAATTGCAAATGCCAATAAAAAGTAATTGCGCACTTCCCAGAGCCGGGCCGGTCATTTTAATATAACTTTTGTGAGGGTCCATGTTGCGGTTCAGGCCGCATTAAAGTTGAAAAAGATGCGCTTTTCAGGTGTAGGATAATAATTGGGCAGTCACCAACTAGTTCCTGGAGTTGATGAAATATTGCATCTTTGTTCGCAAATTATGATGCCATGGTAACTTGAAATTCCAATAAAAGTAATAGTGCACATCACGGGGCCAAGCCGGTCGTTTTGATACAACTTTTGTGGGGGTAGACATTGTGGTTCGGGCTGCATCTCTGGGCAGCACACCTCATCCCCAAAATGCCCCCCGGGCGCTTTCAATAGCTGCCCACTGCACCACCTGGTGGTGGATGGGTTAAATGCAGAGACTAATTTTGCCATTGTATGGAAACATACAGTGCTGACATTGTGATGACATTATTATTATTATTATTATTATTATTAACGGAGATAGAAATGTAGACATACTTCCGAGGTGTAGAATAATAGGTGCTTGTCATGCAAATGCATGGCAAGCACCTATTATTTATCTGAGGAGCAGCCATCTTTAAGTTTAACTCCATCACAGTACTCTGATCTTGAGCAAGCATGAAGGTGACAGTGGAAAGGAAAAACTCCCTCATGAGGAATAAACCTTTAGCAGAACCAGGCTCAGGGCAAGCCGTCATCTGCTTCGACCGGCTGGGTTTGGCAGGAACAGATGAACAATGTAAGGTCATTTTCATTCAACCTTTATTTAAACAGATAAGTCACATTGAGCCTCGAAGACTCATTTACAAGTGAGATCTGTTTGAACATGCAATAAAAAGTGGTGAAAAATAACACATAAGGTTTGGAGACAAAAAATAATTCATAACACGCTCTTAATCTCTGGTTGAAGTTTACCAGCGTGATAATGAAAAAAATCTTGCACACTGGAACATAATGGTGCTGACCTTATGCGGGGAGGAAGGAGGGGACGCAAGGACGATGAGCAGTCAGAGACAACACACAGAGGCACTGCAGAGTTCAGATAAAATCACTCGGTTCAAATAGTTCCCTCTAGAAATATTTGTACACACTCGGGGTGCCGAGGACGGCCAAGGACAAATCCAAAGAGTCCTGAAATGATGACAGAATGTTTATTCAGCTGAGCTCCTCTGAAAAATCATGAAAATTCCTCAGTGGGGGGAGGGAGGGGCAGAGCTTCAGGTTTACAAGACTTCCAGGTGTATTGAGATGAGATGGCCTGTCAAGGCCAGTCAGGGAGCCAAATTCAGATAAACATGATTGTTTTGGGAACAGGCAGAACTTTTTTGACATCTACCTTGAGTCTGTGTCAGTCCACTTGCTTCCAAAACGTCCAAATTAAATGGCCACACCAATGGACCATGCCTGAGAAAAATCCCCGAGATCTGATCCATCCTGGCAAAACATTTGAGTCTGGGTGCTCGAGGCACGAACCAAGCCATCATAAGACAAGCAGCATGATCGGGTCTAAATTTGCTGCCGACGACTTCCTTGATTGTAGATAAACCAGGAACCAGCCAAATCCAAAAAGCAGGAACCGGTTCTCGTAAATCCAATTATAAATGCGTCCTTAAAATGCACAAATGACAGCAGAGATAGACATGTCATCAAGTCTTCCAAGTCGATGAGATATCCAGCTGCGTGCATGCCAACAGGGCAAATCAGCTCACCTAAAGCCTGTCTTCTACTACTACACAGAGCAAATTAAACCAAAATTACTTGACACAAATTACAGTGTCATTGGAGTAGTGATAGATTGATATTTACAAAAAACAGTAAAAACCATCTCAGCATTTCATAATTACTTGAGGGAATGCAGAGAGGAAACAACACTGTATAGTGGTCCCTCGTTTATCGCAGGTGTTTGGGACCACGCCCACCTGCGATAAGTGAAGCACTGCGAAGTATGGATACAGTAGTCCAAGTTCAGTAAACTTTGTCATGACATGTACCAGGCTGCAATCACACTCACTCATCACCTGTTACTCCCAATATCCCTCCTTAAATAGACAATTTAAATTTAGATACTACAACATTTTAAATAAACAAATAAACAATCGAATGTTGCAGAATTTAAATTTAAATTGTAGAGAAGATAAGTGCAGCATGACAGCAAAAGGTTAACACTTCACACAGCTCTACAGCATGGAGCAGAAATGTATTTCTTGATCAATGACACTGAAACAACTGAATGTAGAAGTTCTAAAATAATTAAAAATAACTTAACTATTTTATGTTTTGTGATTATGATGATTTTACGATGTGACATACTTTGAATTTTAAGTTGGAAGACAAACGTCCATCGATGCATTTGGACAGCAAAGGGTTAACCCTTCACAAAGCTGCAGCAGCAGGAGAAATGTGTGGCAGAGAAGGAGATCAGCTGATCAGCTGCAGGAGGGAGCTTCCCCCTGCACTTCTGAGCTGCACACATGATGCAAAATCATTTAAAATAATTGATTTTAAATAAACAACCCATGGCTCATCCATCAATCATCCAATTGTGTCATGTCCAATCTTATTTTGAAAAACCGCGATATAGGGAATCCACGATAAACGAACCGCAAAGTAGCGAAGGATTACTGGATCTAAAAAAGAAATTGGAAACAGAACTTAAGATTAACATACTAGATGAAGAATGGTTCCAAATGTGTGAAGTACAGCAAAGCACAACAAATTCACTCTCATGGAGGGAATTTGTTGGAAAAATCTAACAAGGTTTTTCATAACACCTAAAATCAAAAGTAAACAAAAATGTTGGCAATTATGTGGAGAAGTAGATGCCAGTCACTTGCATATATTTTGGAGTTGTACAAAAATATCTGGATATTGGGAACAAGTAGGATCGACATTGTCTAAAATTCTGAGTTGTACAATTCCAAATACATGTCTAGTGATGATGTATTTGGAGAATATAACAGATGTAGTGAAGAAAGAAGATATGTTTCTGACAAAGGTAATCCTGGCCGCGAGTAAAAAGGCAATAACAAAAATATGTTTGAAGCCAGACACGTCTAACCAAGAAGAGTGGATCAGGACTGTGGAGGAAATGACAGTTTTAGATTGAAAGGATTAGGTATGACAAACAGTGGAGACAATGGACCCTATTCCAAAGTGGCACACACAACAATGGAAATACAGCTGAATGATTAATGAATGTATGATTGTTAAATGCTGTCAGAAGAAAATCCAGACTGATGTTTAATGTTATTTATTTACTTCTTTTGTGCGTCTGTCTTTGCAAAAATCAATACAAATTAAAGTATAAAAAAGTGACATGAAGGCAGCGGGTGATGTGCATTAATTATGGCGTGCTAAGCCTTCACTTGAGTTTGTTTGTTGTGTTCAGGATGTTGCGTGCTCATTACTCAGAGCTGATCCAGCCTCACAGTCTGGATGAAGACGGCCAGGAGACACCAAAGATGTCCGCTGGTCAAATGTTGCTGGTGGCTTTTGACGGGATGTTCACCCAACTGGAGACTGCCTTTGGACAACTCACTGACAAGGTTAACATGTTTAAATAGATGTTAGTGATTTAATCCTAAAATGTAAAACGCATGAATACTTTAACAGGTCTTTAAAATACATATTTTACTCTTCTATTATACTAGTTTGAACAATTTTCTGAGGCCTTTTTTGTCTGTGGGATGTGTGGTCACAGTTGCTCCCATTTCAATCATAAATGCGAGCATGCCATCATGGACGGTCTTGTCACAGCGCAGAGAAAGGACTTGGGCTGTTAAAACACAACGGAGCAGATGCAAACATTAGCAGTCAGTCAAATACCGGCTCCATGTACTTCGTAAATCTTTCACTGGGAAAATAACAAGATCTCCAGAGATTAAAATATCACAATAAAACTTTCAAACATCAGAACTTTCTAGAGTGAAAAAGGTCAAAACATGACTGTAAGACAAGCCCTGTCCATATATTGTAGTAAAATAAACACAGATCATTCTCACAAACTGAACGTGTGCATATATTCAGATTTAACAAAGTTAAGTCAGGTCCTTGACTGAGAAGGAGGGCTTTTCCTCCGTCGGACAAGGGTGAATTGTTCTTTTCAAGTCGAGGGCGAGGTTCTGCCTCCAGTGGAGGGGTTCAGGTATCTCGGGATTTTGCTCACAAGTAAGGGAAGAATGGGGCGTGAGATTGTCAGACGGATTGGTGCATCGTCTGCAGTATTGTGGACTGTGTGCCAGTCCATTGTGGTGAAGAGGGAGCTGAGCTGTAAGGCAAAGCTCTCTGTTTACTGGTCAGCCTACGTTCCTCCCCTCACCTCTGGTCATGAGCTCTGGATAGAGACTGAGAGAATGAGATTGTGGAAACAGGAGGTTGAAATGAGTTTCCTCTGCAGGGTAGCTGGACTCTCCCTGAGAGACAGGGTGAGAAGTTCAGTTATCAGGAGAGACTCGGAGTAGAAGCTGGCTCAACAGCTGGCTCCAGAGCAGCTGGAGCCTCAAGTGACTCCAGAGGAGCCAGTTGAGGTGGTTCAGGCTTGTCCGACTGGGAGGAGACCCCGGGGAAGACCCAGGACACGCTGGAGAGACTACATGTCTCATTTGTCCTGGGAACGCCTTGGAGTCCTCCCAGAAGAGCTGCAAGAGATGTCTGTGGAGAGAGGTGTCTGGACCTCTCTGCTCAAGCTGCTGCCTTCACAACCCGACTTTGGAACAAGCAGAAGATAATGGATGGACGGACCATCTGTCCGTCCGTCCTCTGGACCGTCCAAAGGACCTGACTGGACTTTGTTAGATGTTTCTGTCTGGATTATTGAGCATGCATCAGTTCTGTTTCTGTAGAGCTAGTCTGTATGAGTTCCTGGGTAAATACAAGTTCCCATTTTGTGGTATTTCAAAGTGAGCCTCGTCTCAGTCCAGTTTCTCTGCTCTTTATCATCTCCAGCTGAGCTCTCTGGAGGTGCCATCAGCCTGGAGGAAGGTAGATGTTCTGAAAGAGGCTCGGGCCACACAGCTCAATGTGTTTGACAGCCCAAATCAGCGCCAGCTCATGGAGGAGGTGTTTTTCCTCAAGAGACTTCAAACCATCAGGGATTTCTTCAGAGTGTGTTCTTCTTTTGCTCAGACTCTAACTGGTAAGAGCTCCTCACAAACACGCATCAGTTTTACACGTGGTTTCTAAGACCACAGCTTGTATTTGTGCCCAGCACTCAAAGGTGTTTTTCATGTGTCTGTCACCCAAACATCTCATGTTGAGCTAAATCTTCACGCTTCAGTGTCTCAGATTCACAACACTGAAGTCAGCATGAGTTGTTTTTTGTAATAAAGGTTTTGTCAGTTTTTGACAAATGTCTGCTAAATGTCTTCAGGGACTTGTCCTCCAGCTGAGGATCTGCTACCTATAAACGGACCTGGTGGTGTAGGAAAGCCTCTGTTTCGCCGGTCCAGTGCAGCAGGATCCGGTCTGTTGGTGATCAGTGAGGAGCAGATGACCCATCCCATCAAGGCCTTTACAGCTGAGTTTGTACGCCTGATGCTGATGGGCCTGCCGGGCCAAGCCCTGGGCCTGGCCCTCTGCAGCACCCTCTCTGCCCTCGGCCTGGACGTTGTGGCTCAGGTGGAGGTGAAGGACTTTGGTGCAGAGATCAAGGTGTGTGTGCTCACCGTTCCATGCAGATGTAGAAGCACTGATACACCGCCGGTGTTCTGATCCGATCTGTTTCTGTCAGGTCTCTCTGGATGAGCTGTGTAAGAAGGCTGTGGAGCAGAGCCTGGCGTCGGGCCAGGTGTCTCAGCTGCTGATGAACAGAGCCACGGTGCTGGCGTCCTCCTACGACACAGCCTGGAAGAAGCTTGACCTGCTGAGGAGGTTGGACATCAACCTGGAAGCTGCTCAGGCCAGTCTGCAGAGGAGCCAGCTGCATATCTCTGTGTTCCAGGTGGGTTCTGGGCAGACTTCACTTTGGGTTCCAGTAGACATGCACCAGTACCACATGTTTTCAAACCTTGTACAAGTACTTACACTTGTGTACTTGCTCATACCAATTACTGGTGCAAGTACTGATACAGTAGTCCCTCGCTACTTCGCGGTTCGCTTATCGCGGATTCGCTCTATCGCAGTTGTTGAAAATAAGATTGGACATGACACAACTGGCTGATTGATGGATGAGCCGCACAATCTGCATGGAATTTTTATTTAAAGTTCATTATTTTTAATGATTTAGCACCTGCTGCACCTCTGTGCAGCCCTTACTGCTGCAGGATCAACTTCCTCCTGCAGCTCATCTGCGTGCAGAGCGGAGAAGTGGGCGTGGCCGAGAGCGCTTGCAGGTGGCTGAGAGCAGAGGAGGCAGAGAGGGAAATCATGGCATTCTGTCTCTTAGAGCGTTGAGTTTAAAAACATTGTTTAGAACAGGGGTGCCCAAAGTTGGCCGGCCAAGCTGTCCTCTCTACTATATAAACATTTCCTTTGAAGAATCAATGTGTTTATTGATTCCACCCACTGACTTTAATGTTAGCTGGGTGACTACCTTAATGGCATTACACGGATTACACAGTAGAGTAGCTAATTTGTGTGTTTTTGTAATAATTTTAATAACTTTTATTTTTATATTTTATTTTGTCAGACTTCCTGCTGTTTCTCAGCAGCTTCCTGCCACTGAATAACATTTCCCTTTGACAGAGCTGGGCTCTCACTGCTGCTCGGGCCCACCCCTCCTGGGGGCAGGTTTTTGTGACACAGAGTGAATGTCTCGGGTAATCACACGTACCAAACCTCTCGCTCGGGGTTTACATTTTCCTACCGTAACTCCACCCACTCTGTCATTATGTGACCAGAAGTCTAACCTGAAAGACCATTGACGTACTCTCCAGGACCCATTCCCAATTATAGGCGTGAATTAATGTCTTCAGAACGTTGCAGTATTTAGTGCCTCGTGCACAGACCTGCTCATCTGCAGCGATAATGGAAAACGCACAGATAATTTTTTATGATGCAGCTTTCAGGTTAAAAGCGATCGAGCTGGCTGTCTAATGAGGAAACAGCTGCCGAGAGCGAGACGGAGGCAGTGGTTGACGTTTTTCTGAGCCTCGAAGAGGACTTTAGTGCAGGAGGAAGAAGAACATAGCAATGAGTGACTTTTGGTCAACTACTGGTACTTTTTTTTTTTTGACATGTTAAAGGCATTTTTCAGAAAACTATACATTTACCGGCTGTTCTACTCCGGGACACGTGGGCTCCGCTGATCAGAAGTCGTCAAATTTTTATTTAAAGCAAAGTCTGGTACATATTTTTAATAAAAGTTTTAAAATTCTTCCTGTGTGACATCTTTCCATGTACAGTAAATATGTGTTTAAATACCAGTACAGTATGTCCAGAGCTTAATTTGTGCTGGATCCTGCCAGAACAAGATCTGGGAACTCGCTTATTTTGAAGGGTGCATTCCGGTACCCGTTTTCTTGGATCCAGTAACTCTCAGGCCTAATACCGGTAATAATAAATTTATGAACAAATTTGACCGCCTTGAACAAATAAAACCTATATTGGATATGTAAAATGAAAATAATTACATAAACACTCATTTTGAGCATCCTAATGTCACTTCAGAGCTGTCGCTTCGCATTTCTGCTTCTGCCCTTAAAAAAAATCTGTCATGGGTAATTTTATTAAAAAACACAAAAATATAATTAACATTTTGCACTACGCGTAAGTTCTTGCACTTTTGTGAACAGTGTGATATGTGAATCACTGAAAGAGGTATATGAACTGCAACAAAGAGACAATGAGCTTGGCTCATAAAACTTTTTGTCATGCAGTCAGAGTGTGTGAAGCGATGTCGGAGCGACCAGGACACTTTTCTGGATTGAGCAAGAGGATTGAGAGCAACTCTTTTCTAAGCCTGTGACAAAGTGCTAAATATTAGGCAGCTTTTTTCTGTGTGGCCAAAAACTCAGAGCAGCGCTTGTTGTTCCGCGGTGCAGAGCAGGGAGAAGGAAGAGGAGGCGCACCTGACTGCGGTGTAGGCTATACTAAACAACTGTGATCCAGCCCTTAATACACTTATAAATCACACACAAAGCATTTAAAAGAACATTATAAATATAAACTGATGTCATTGGTGATTTTTAGGGATGGGGCCAATCCGATCCAGTATCAGTATCGGCCTCCGATACCAGCATAAATTACGTATCAGATTTTTCCGATCCACCTGCCGATATTTTCGATCCATGATGCATGTTGGCTTCAAACTATGGAATGGATTTCCTGAATGGCGGCGTGTCTCATGAACCCAGAGTAATAAGACCCGCCTCACATTCAGGAAATCCAGTTCATAGTTTGCAGCCAGCTACAACGTGAGGACTGAGTTAGCATCACTGTGGCTAACAGCTAACAAACTTTTCATCTAAACATGTCCACTGTGTGGAAGTATTTTACACTAAACACCACAAAACAAGACAGCAACGTGCACTGTCTGCAGAGCCATAGCGCCACATTAAATTGCGGTAAAGTTAGTTTTACGTTGGACATTTGAGCTCCGTGGCTTCAGCGGGGCGCTGCTCTTTGCTCAACCCAAAACAGGCGACTCGACCCCGGCCAGCCGCGTCCAATCTGCCCCGCTCAGTCTGCCGTCTCTGAGGAGGGACAGACTGAGCGGGGCTGACTGAAATCAGACTGCCTGCTTCGGATTGAACAAGAAAAACACATCGCTGAAACCACGGAGCTCTAATGTTTACAGAGAAGTTGTTAAACTTCATCATAATTAATGACCAACCACTATAATAATAATAATAATAATAATAATGTCATCACAATGTCAGCACTGTATGTTTTCCATACAATGGCAAAATTAGTCTCTGCATTTAACCCATCCACCACCAGGTGGTGCAGTGGGCAGCTATTGAAAGCGGCCGGGGGACATTTTGGGGATGATCAGTTGTAGAAAACAAAGGATTTCTCAGTTTGATACTTGCAGTCAAGATATAGTTTACCCTCCAGGAGATGTTTATCAGTACAACAGTAAACAATCATAAAAAAACATATGATTTGAAAATTATATTAAAAACATAAACAGCTACATTACATGTGTTCTAGAATTGCGCCGCTCAAGGTGGCTGCATGTTAGAGCAGCTCTGTTACTTTCATTCTGAGATTTTGCTTTTGGAAACTTTAATTCCTCTTTTTCTGGATGTAAATCACAATTTTTTGGATGATTGTTTCCTCTGGTATCAGATGCTGTGCAGCTGGAAGGATTTTTACTGAAACTTTTTTAGTTTTGGACATTTGTTATGATGCGTAACCATGGCAACAAGGCAGTTTTCTACAACCAACAGCAGCTGATTAACATCTCAAAAGCTCAAATAATATCTCAACTACAGCCCCAAATTACAAGTGAGTTTAAAGGATGTTCTGTGGACGCATTCTCATCTACCTGCCAGCTGTGCTCGAGTGCCTGACCACTGAGATCCTGGAACTAGCAGGAAACACGGCTCATGACAATAGAAGGACAGGATCGTCCCTCGGCACCTGCAGTTGGCTGTCCACAGCGACCAGGAGCTCGACAGACTGCTGGGAGGAGTGGTCATCGCTCTGGGAGGAGTTCTGACCAGCATTCAGGTGGTCCTACAGCCCGGGGGAACCGAGAGGCCAGCCGAGTCTGGATCAGACGGCATCTGCAGCCAGTTTCTTAGGATCCACTGTGGGATGGACCTTTACAAGAGATCCTTCCTGCCTACAGCATCAGTATCTCCAAGTCAAAGTCACTTTATTGTCAAAAGCTGCAATATGTACAGGACATACACAGGATTGAAATTACATTTCTCTCCGACCCCGGTGCAACAATAACCATTTAACATTAAAACATTTATTAAACATAAGCATAAAATGAAATAATAAAAGCATGATACTGTCTTAAATTGTACTATACGGTATAAAAATATTTTAAAAAGTATATCTATAAAATAAAATGAAATGAAGGTCCTGACAGTGATATTTGTAGTGAGTGGCAAAGCAGCATATGAAGTGAATGTACACGGTGTATGTATGAAGTCCTTGATATTGGTGTAGGTAAAGTGACATATGCAATAAGACTAGTAAAAAAATATATTTGTATATCAGCGGTAGTGTAATATAAGCAGCAGTGTGAGTATAAATAGTAGTGCAAATGTAAACAGTAGTATGAAAATGAACAGTGGTATGAATATAAACAGTAGTTGGAATATAAACAGTAGTTTGAATATGAACAGTAGTTTGAATATTAACAGTAGTGCAAATGTAAACAGTAGTGCAAATTGAATGAGCACATGAGCATGTGTTGAGTGTATAACCTGTTTTTTAATGATGCAGAGTTCAGTGTTAGAAAGTTTTTGTGTTGTGTGGAAATGTGTGAAAGTTTTGTGTGTTAAGGCGGTACAAGAGGTAGGGGAGGCAGAGCAGGCAGAGTTCAGCATCCTGACTGCCTGATGAACAGAGCTGTCTCTCAGTCTGCTAGTTCGAGCCTGGAGACTCCGCAGTCTCCTCCCTGATGGCAGCAGGCTGAAGAAGCTGTGTAGTGGGTGTGTGGGATCACCTGCCATGCAAAGGGCTTTCCGAGTGAGGCGGGTACTGTGTAAGTCATGTAGCGAGGGGAAGGAGGTGCCGACGATCTTCTCGGCTGCTCTCACAATGCGCTGGAGTGTCTTGCAGCAAGATGCAGTACATGCACCGAACCACAC